AGATGACATACGTAGTTTTGCCTTTCTTCTTTATAATGATTTACAATGGACTAGTCCTTCAACTAGTTCTTTAATAGAGGTCAATTCATCATCTGAAATCGGTGGTCAAGCTGGCTTTAATGCAGGTGATGGTATTATTTATGAAATGTTACCCTATTCCCGAACCAGTTATGTTCGTCGATTAGTAAATACAAGTAATGTCAATGTTCCTGGTCTCTTTGTTTTTCGAATTGATTCCGATACAATTGCTATCGGTGGCTGTGGTAATGATTCAAATTTGTTATTTCGACCACGCCGTGGATCTCAACTTGGTTTTACAGCAATTACTATTCAAGGCCCATGTTTCACAAATACAAGTGAAGGTGATATTAAATGTCGATTTGGTGAATCAATGATAGTTGATGCTATTGTTATCAGTGAATTTCAAGCTATTTGCCTTACACCATCTGTATCATTACCTACTTTTATTAATGTTTTCTTAAGTACTGATAGAGGTATTACATATCAATTATTTTCGAATACATTTACTTATACGCCAGTTGAATATGGACTTTCTTCAGCAGATAATGCTCAAGTAATTATTCTCAATTATACAGATATGATTGTAACAATAGGTGATCACCTTATTCTGGGATGGTATTTATCAGAAACAACAATGAATAATTGGCCGAATAATAGAATGCGACTTGAGATACAAATGTGTAGTGTTACATTAAACGAATCAAATGGTGGTATTACAGAAAATAGTCATATTGTACTTCAAACAAATCTTATACCCATATTAGGTTTTCAATCAACATCGATTATCATCCCATCAATTGGTAATAGTGATCTTCCAACAGTATTTTTTCGTATTATAGCACGTGATAATTTGACAAATACAGTTTATACTGGTTTTAATTCTCAATTAATTGTGTTACATGATACTACCATAGATACTTCGAATTATTGTCAAACGTGGATAGAAGAACAGCCATCACCATCAACATGGAATGAAAATTTATTACCTTGTCCATTAACCATTGCCCAAGCACGTGTTGCACGTTGTTGTTATGAACCAGACCCCTTATGTATGGAAAATAGTTATGATTCATCAATTAATTGTCGTCTTCGTCGAGGGCAACCTAATCGTGATGAATTATCAGCTGTTGCTTGTTATTTATCACGTTCAACCAATCAACGGAACGCAGGTACTCAATGCTGTTATGATAGTAATGGTCAACTGATAACTCATGGGACAAGGTAATAAATTTTCATTCCATGTTGATGGTGATGGCTGTTCTTCTATCCCCGTTTGACAAT